AATTTAATGTACCTAATTGATATTTTTAGCTGCACATTTTAATTTTACTGGAATTTCAAAGAAACCATTAAAATAAACTAAAATTACAAGGAATTCAAAACAAACGCAATTAATGACAAAATAAAACAACAGAAATTGATATCTTTTTTATTAAAATATAAAAACTATAACAAAAAAAAACTAAAACTAGTAACTTAATTATCATACAGTCCTACTCCCTGCGGTATCGTGCCAAGAACGCTGGCTGCGTTTCCCCGCTGAATGGCTATACTTAACCTTTGAGCAAGAAAAGAACCAGCCCTCTTATCACCAGCAGCAACGACCAGCTGCGGATGGAGTTCCTTGAGGAACTCAACCGCACGTGGACCCCAAGGACCCATAGTCTCTACAGAAAACGGCACAAATATGTAGTCGTCTATCAGAGTTTAAGATATTTAAAAAATTCAGGTCATGTAAAATGTTTCTGAAATCAGCAATCATCTTCCTTGCTTGTCTTCTGCATTTGATTTTTCACATTTAGTCTAACATTTGAGCAATTTGAAGCCTGCATTGGTCTGATAGAAAGAAAAAAATAGATATTACGTTATAGATATTTGATTAGAGATTATTTTAGAGAAAAAATGTATTACATAATATGACTCTGGCATGCTCTTTCATTAGCTTAAATATTGATTTTGTTTATTTAATCTTAATTTTCCGTAATGTAAAGTGTGTATAAAAATCGAACAAAATGTCGCTTGGTCATTTAAGAATGACAACTAATCCTCATGAAGAGACAACAAATGGAGGGTAGAGCACCCTCCATAACTCAGAACCAGAAACTAAAATGGCGAAACAGCCGATGGGCGGGCATTACCTATGTGACGTCATTTTTCAGTATAGCAAGTTTAGTATACTGACAAATAAGGTTTCTCTTTTTACACTAGAAGAATCACATACGTTAGAAAGAAATATACTGTTTTAATTTCTGTATCGTATGATATTCCTATAATGTATATTTTATATAGATCATTATGACATGACCTCTCTTATTCTTGGGTCATTGGTCCTAGTCTTATGTCTATAGTTTTTATATCTAAGAAGGAAACTAAATTGGCCTTTATTGTCACATGCCAAAGCTTATTCTTTTTTTTTGCTGTCGTCTCGATCGTCTAAATTAATCCGGATAATTCTTCTGAGCACTCCCCGAGGCCGTGGCAAATGCGGTAGAAAATACTAAGAGATGTTCTCTTCACAGCGCCAGTGAATCGAACCGATCAGAAAGAATTCGGTCGTCAACGATTCGAGCCACTCTGCGCTGGATGCGATCAATTGGAAGGAGCTGGCACTGCGTGCGGCTAAACCTGCGCCTTGTAAAGTTGCAAGTGGTGTGCTTGCATAAAAAACACTCTCTCGCTCTGCTGTATTCCATCATCTGTGGTACCCATCGGTAGCAGATCTCAGCCATGGTTTGGAAACTACTGTAAGACTGCATTACGTAAGCAGGAGTATTATCAGGCCTTAGCCGAGGCTTTGGCGGCTCGGGATGTAAATAAGTTATTGCCAAGGCAAAGTCAGAGCACGTAGGCAGAATTGGCGGAAAACTAGTTCGCCTTCCTTCGGGAACCCGTGCATTCTAGTCTCTCGCCAAGGCTATCCAAGGAAATTTCTGTAAGCCATCACTACCATCTCTGCACAGGGAGGATGACTCACTGGCTCACGCCGCAAAAGAAAAAGCCGACCTTTTAGGCTCCTTTTTGCGTCCAACTCGACTCTTGATGACAGGGGGAACACACTGCCGACCATCCCGCAGTGTGAGTACTCTATGCCTGATGTGCGATTCACACAGTGCTCAGTACGCAAAGCACTGCTCTCCCTGGACATCCACAAGTCGAGTGGGCCTGACGGAATTCCGCCAATTGTGCTGAGGACGTGCGCTCCAGCGTTGGCACCGGTTCTAACTCGTCTTTTTCGGTACTCCTACTCCCTAGGCGTAGTCCCGAACTCACGGAAGACAGCTTTCGTGCACACGATCCCTAAAAAAGGTAACCTCTTTGATCCGTCCAATTATAGGCCTATCGCCATCACCTCCTTGTTCTTGAAAATAATGGAGTCCGTTATTTACTGCCAGCTCATGCGGTACCTTGAGGAGCACTAGCTGATTAGTGACTGCCAGTACGGTTTCCGTCGGGGTCGCTCAGCTGGTGATCTTTTTGTTTACCTAACACATAGATGGGCGCAGGCGATCGAGTCCAAGGGGGAGGCATTGGCCGTTAGTTTGGATATAGCGAAGGCCTTCGATCGGGTCTGGCAAATAGCGCTTCTTTCAAAGCTCCCTTCCTATGGGCTTCCCGAAAAATTGTGCAATTGGATCACCAGTTTCCTTGCTGATCGGAGCATCAAGGTCGTAGTAGACGGTGCATGCTCTGATTACAAGCCTACTATCGCTGGTGTTCCACAAGGCTGCGTGCTATCACCAACGCTGTTTCTATTGCATATCAATGATATGTTGCAAACCGGTAGCATTCATTGCTTTGCGGATAACAGCACTGGTGATGCTCTATACAACGGCCGTGCCAGCATTTCTCGGGAAAACGTCGTCGAGTACCGGAACAAACTTGTGTCTGAAGTCGAGACTTCGTTGAACAAAGTTGCCGGATAAGGTCTCGGATTGGGGGCGTCTAAATCTAGTCCAGTTCGATCCCCAGAAGACACAAGTTTGCGCGTTTACCGTTAAAAGAAACCGCTTTGTTGTATCTCCTCAGTTTCAAAGCACTCCCTTTGTTGCCTTGTTGTCTCAGCCAGTATCGGAATCCTCGGCGTCGACAAATCAAATGACGTGCAGTTTCGTGGTCACTTGGAAGAGAAGGCTAAATTGGCCCCTAAAAAGGAACGCAGAACGGTTACCGCTGAGTGGTATATCACGGTTTGTTTGCTAGAAATGATAGCCGAACTCCGAAAAAATAACCTGAAACGTCGCATCATCTTAAATCACGATAATGCGAGCTCACATACGGCTCGGAAGATAAATAATTATTTGAAGCAGGAAAACGTTGAGCTGATGAGCCATCCTCCGTACAGTCCTGACTTGAGCCCAAACGATTTCTTTACATTCCCTAGAATGAAAGATTTATTACGCGGTCAACGGTTTGAAGACCCCGAAGCAGCTGTGGAAGCGTACAATTCAGCCATTTTGCCAACATCAACTTCAGACTGAAATTACTGTTTTAATGATTGGTTTGCACAAAAGGAAAAGTGCATTAAGTTGAACGGAGAATACTTCGAAAAACAGTTAAATACAAATTAGCTATACCGTGCATGTGGTTTTTCTTATTCCCGATCATTTCAGTGTATCAATAAAATAAAATAAATATATAAAAATACATAAATAAATAAAAATCCAAGCAGATGGACGTCCTTAGCAGGGGAGACCAAACGGCCGAGGGTTTGGTCTATATTTGAGTTATCATTATTATTATTATCCTACTACCAACTAATATCAAAGGACTCAATTTGTTTTCTCACAACACCTAACCCTACAGTAGGAGCGGCCTTACCAAATCGCGTAACGGGCTAAGTGATACAGACTCTCGGACGCGGACGTAAGATACATTTTGATTTAATACGCGCGCCACATTAATTTTTTTTTCGACGATTTAATCGGTAGGCTATTTTAACTAAGGTCGTATCCGAGGCGTTCAAAGTATTATGAACATTAGACGACGTTTTAACTAGGTTTAAACTTGCAAGTTTGCATCAGAGAGTGATTCTTCTGTTCTTATACTATTATTTATTCTGTGGTATTGCACACAATAGCCGGATCGGAAATAAATTTGCTATTATTCTTTTGTTGCCAAAGAATCGTTGAAGATGAAGCTGCCTTCAGAAGTGATATCAGCACAAACCATAAGTTAATTTCAGAACAGATTGGATAAACAACTACAGATTTTAAACCAGGATACAGGTTTATATCAGTTGTTTTAACTGCAGGTTATAATAATACCGCTCGCATCAGAAACAGAAACAGAAACTTTTTCATACGATATAGATTATAAATAATACTTATTGAAAGTCACTCTTTTGTTTAATTACCCCTGGTTCGAAAAAACCTCTGTCCTGCGAAGAACCAGCAATTTTATACAAACTTAGTTTAATAAAGTTTTTGAACTTTGAGCAGGTCAAATTTTGTATATTTTCTGGAATTTTGTTGTAAAAGCGTATACATCGCCACAAGAATGAATTACTGACTCGGTGAAGTCGAGTAACTGGTACTACTAGCTTGTGTCTGGTCCTAGTATTTACAGAATGAATATCACTTATTTTTATAAAACTACTTTTATTTTTGTGTACGTACATTACATTTTCATAAATGTATTGAGATACCAAAGTTAATATATTAATTTCCTTAAATTTTTGTCGCAGCGTCTCTCTAGGCTTTAAATCATATAATTTCAGTGTCACCTGCGTGTCCCTATAGCAAAATACCATACGACATTATGCTATGGAAATAGCTAAAGTAAACTAGTCTAGCTGTTTCAATGCTGGTAAGATTTCTAATCTTTTTCACAGCATATGCTGCGGAACTAAGTCTGCTTGCTAGTTTTGATATATGGGGGCTCCATTGAAGCTTCTTCTAGTGTGATTCCAAGAAAAATGGTGGTCTACAAGACAGTTTCTAAAAAAGTTTCTAAAATTACATAATTATTTAATTGTTTGACATTTGGATTCATAAATTTCATACATTTCGTTTGAGTGTCATTTAAATACCCCAATAATAATAGTAATAATAATTTTTCTAACCAAGCCTTAAATATTTTGATTTTAACTTTGCATTTTATCCATCAAAACATAAAACAAATTTCTCCTGAAATCTTGAACCCTACGTCGTCATATAGGATAATTTTAATTTCAACATTTTACAACAATGTCAATCATCAACGTGAAACATTATTCATCGGAAAGACGAATTTTAATAATCAAATTCCAACTGCTTAAAATAAAATTTATTGTATTTTTTAATATTACATGTTTGCGTCAGACACCTTATCTAAAATCTTTTTTCTTATATATGCATATTTAGTGAAAATATTTCTCACAGGAAATACTAAAATATTATCTGGTGATTCATAACAGTTGAATTCAGTTAATTCTTGAGGTGGCAAGTTAGCTGAGAATAAATCTTGTTCTATTGTTTCAATACAATTCAGTTTTATGCATTCAAATTTTGCTAGGCACATGCAAATGTCTTGAACAGCTCTATAAGACAGCACTTCGCAGTTGTCTGATAGTAAAGCGATGGAGCTACCGGGACATTCAAACACTTTGTTTACAATCATGCCCGCCCATTTAAAAAATACATCGAATCTTACATCAAATTCTAAAGTTAACCAAGGCACTGGTATGAAATTCTTGTCTTCCATATTTAGGGACCAGGATCTGAAGAACTCTGTGAGAATGATACGATTTTCGTAATACCCAACCCGTTTGATAATATTCCTTAATTCTAATTCTGACAATCTTTCCAACAACAATTTTGGTTCCCAGGAGAGGTGTGCCTTAAACAAACATTTTAACAATAAAACACACAAAAATCTTATTAAGCAAGCAAAGAGATTGAAAATTGATTAATTTTTCTCACCACATGCGTGGCAAGTTATGAGATGAAATATAGGAATCAAGCCTCATCATCACTTTTATAAATTCTAACAGCAAGGTTTATGGTTACACTCAAATCTCGATCCTTGTTACTTTCGTAAAATTTCCTGACGTGAGCAGGTTTGTGAGCCTCATCATCCATATAGCCAGCCTCAACGGAGATTAGCCATCGGCGCAGGACAGGCTATAGTGCTCAAGTGTATGCGCAAGCACAGGTGCACTCTCTATTTCCTCAGTCTCATAGTCCGATGAGACGGTAAACCGATACGACCGGAGAGAGATCAGGCGCAGGAACAACGAATTTACATGCTTTCCGAGGCACGGGGTGAGACACCGCCAATTCCTGACTCCGGGCAGCTACTGAGAATTCCTTGAAGAAGAAACTCAATAAATGTTTTTTTTGGTCCGACCCGGAATTCAAACCTGTGACCTCATGATCGTGTTTACAATCACTAGACCAACGAGGTAGATGAACCACTTAGTAATAAAGAAGTGAAAGTAAAAAGTTACGTATTAATAGCGTGTTTGTGGACTGCTATGCTATCTCCATGGAACAGTGTGATATTTTTACTCCGTCGTAAGAGGCGACAGAGGAAACAAACCAGGAGATGGACAGCAGCGTCTTACTACTACTTAATAACCACGCCTGCCAAGCTTGGCAATTATGGCAGACAGTTGCCAAGCTTTAAAGCAACCTATGTTGTAAGTTGTAACGGTAAAAGTAATGATAACAGACTGCAGGAAGGGAAGAAGTATCTGTCGATATAAGGTAAGATTTGTCTACCCAAGAATTAGTTATGAACTAGATCTGGTCCTGGAGTGCAGAAAGATTGGTGCTTTCAAGTGCTTGTTTTCCTGGCCCACATGACCTCAAACGAAATAATTCCTTAATTATTAAGAGGTTGCATCGCGTGCATGGCATTTAAAGAAAAAAACTTGTCCATCCTTATATCTAACTTAAATGGCAGTATATTCAAAACATACAAAGTATCCTGACCAAATACTTCCTAAATAATATATTTTATATTATTTAGGAAGTATTTAAAATATTATTTTTAAGTTTTTATTTCATTTAACACAATTTCATACTTGTATCATAATTTGACAGTGACATTTTTCGTTACAGAAATGTTCTTAAGGCCTTTTAATACCTAGTTATTGAATTATTATACAGTTATAATATTACGAATATTTATACCTTTAGTTCCTGTAGAGTGCAACCTTTTTCACCCTTTTCCTTTAAATGGGTGACTATTTCATCCTGAATAAGCTCCACATTCTCAGTCTCGTCAACTACTTTGCAACTGAAGACAATAATAAAATTAGTTACCTAATATAAAATTAACAAATTCAACAGTGATCATTTATTAAAAACACAAAGTAAAATTATATATTAAATTACCTAGAGATGTGTTTTATACACTCATCCAAATCAATGTTCTCATACAATTCTGAGAACTTTTTAATATCAAGCTTACTTTTACAGCCTGTTAATCCCGATTTAAGGGAGTATTTATTTTCTATATCAATCACGTTAAGTTGTTCCTCTTGCATTATAGAGCCTGAATAACCTGATATCACTGGAGTTGTGATTGATATGATATCTATAATTTCACAAGTAAGCAGCTCACAAAATATGCAGTTAATTTCTGGGAAACCTTTAACACCATTTACAGGAATTTCTATTTCTAAGCTCTCGCCTAAGCAGTCCCCAAATTCCGAATTGAGTCTACAATGCCACCGACGTTGGTAAAATGCCGATATTTTAAATGAACATTGGACAAGGTCCTCGTGTATTCTGTGCACATGAGTGTTCAAAATTTTGTCTCTTGCGGCAATTGCACCACTTTTACGCAATTGCTCTAATGCTGTCCGTAAAATGGGTTCAGGATGATTTTTAAAAACTGAATAAATTTTTGAAGCTGTATCGGAGTTTAATGCGTTCTCGTAAGACAACATTGTGGTCATAATAATACCTTCTTTTAAGGAGGCAAGGATGGGTTCACACGCAACTGGTGTTCTGTACATGCTGTACGTTTTGTCAGATGATAAAGGAGTCACATTAAAATTTTTATACAAATCTTCAAGATCCGTTGCAATACAAGGAACCCTCTGTGTAAATGTTTTACATCTCGATATAAGGCACATTGTCCACATCAATTCTAACATAGGCAATCTACATACCTTAAACAATCTTTTAATATTGGAAGAGTGACGTTGTCTTAGTTTTTTAAAGAGTCCTTCATACTTTTGAATTAAATTTCGACGCCGTCTTACTTCATTCAATATGCACTCCTTTTCATGATTCAATGTTGAATTAGATTCTAAAGTTGCGGCTCTTATGTGGCAAACACTTGACGTCTTTTTATCATCGTGCATGTACAATATCTCCCTAGCCACCGCATTTCTAATTTTTACACCATCTGGATGGGATGTAGGATTCATTATATTGATGGCTGCCTTACACAGCATAATTATCCTATCCTCCCATATTGTCCACTTTATTGATGAGTCTGGGGCTTTCTTTTTTTTGCGTCGGTTAAATGATAGTTCATCTATCGCGGATTTGGATACTATTTTATTTACTTTTGGTTTCATTTTGGGTTTCTTCACCGCTTCCACTTTCGTTTTAATTACCCGTTTCTTCCTTCTTATCATCGGTTGGTTAATCTTTGCGCTTCTTATGTAAAATGTGCGCCATAAACGAGGTATATCCATAAAAAAGCTGGAGTCGAAAGCACAAGGCCCCAATCCATCCCCATATCTTTCCCCATTATCATATAATGACACTTCTTCTGCTTTTCTTATAGGAGGTTTAATTTTTTTCCGATCTCGCTTTATCACTATTTCGACATTTGTATTAGTACTAATTGTATAAACATCATTCCAATACTTTGTTACGTCCTCAAATGTTTCAAAAAAGTAGGACTTTTCTAGTAATTGTATATCTATGTTTGGTCTGGGCCACACTCCTGTGGTGTCTAATATTTTGGCTTGACGATTCACATAAAATAAGTAACTCAAAAGATTGCCTTCATAATCAGAAGCAGGAATTGGGGCATTTTCAGAGACCAATTGAATGAGTCCCATCATGGCCAATGCTTTTAAATTAAACCTTATTGAATTTTGTAGGCTTTTTGATTGCAATAACCTTTCATATAACTCAACTGGCGCGGCGTTAAGTTTTACATCTAGCAAATTTTCATTTATTTTCATATGAGAAATATCAGATATCGCCACATTACTAATGTTACCAACTGCAAATCCTACAGTCATTTCAGGTACAATAGAAAGGACAGTAGCAAAACCTTCTGGTAAAACACTGTTTTCGCTTTTAACTTTATTAAAACAAACTACGCTGATTATGAGTTCATGCAATTTCTGTATTTTCATATATCTTGGATAAGCGAACTGTGATAGAGGACGTGATACACTCTCCGTTAAGGCTCTTTTAACTTTTGTTTTTTTGCTAGCAAGAGCTTTCAAACTAATCTCTTTGTATTTAGCTTTAATAAATGGATCGTTACTTTTCATTAGTGGATCACAAACCAGAGTTGTGTACTTCTGAAGGAATCCAGGCCATTTTATTTTGTACATCTTTAATTGTCCATCCGTAACTAGTTTTTGAACAAATAGTTTCAACGCTTTTGTGTCCATAGGTGGTTCGCCCGTTTCTTTAGAAACGTAAGTGCTTAATGTTTGATATCCTGAAACAGCGCGTTTTTCTCGAATAACTTTTAAAAGCCCATTAGCAAATTTTAGCTGTCTCAATGTTGGGTTTTTCTTTGCATTAAGCAATGATTCAGTTGTAACATTTTCTAAGCCATCAATAATTTTAACCTCAGTAATTTCATTATCCACATTGTCAGAGACTTCAGTTTCAGTTTTATTTATTTCTTCAATTTTCATTTTCTTTAGAGGCACCTCAGTTTGCTCTTCTTTCTTTTCAACTTCTGTGGAATTCAAAAATTCTAACAACTTCTTTTTTTCTTCGGCATATTGGTTGTCTATTTCAGCTGTAGCAGCAACAGCAATGTATCTAAAATTGTAAGTAATCATTATATATTTTCATATATTATAGTTAACGAAGATATACATAGTTGCTGATGAGATGTTATAGTTAATGACCAAGTCGGTACTACTTTTTACTTTAAAAAAGGCTCAGTTAACACAAAATAACTAGACCAGAAACCCAACAATTTTATTTCTGCATAAATGTTTGCTCCACAAAAATGGCTGACGATGACCGAAAAAGACCTTAAAGTAGGAAAATTACTTAGAAACGAAGCATTAGACCATTTTTTTTATAGGATCGGGTGACAAACGAGCACACAGTCCACCTGATGGTAAGTGGTTACTGTGACCCATAGACATCTACATCTATCCTCAATAAAGACTCAAGATGCAGATGCGTTGTCACCCGTGAGGACTAAGATGGAATGCCTCTTTGCCAGTAAAAAGGGTCTCCGGTTCTCTACACTCACCATACGAAACACAGCAGCGTTAAGCTGCTATTTTACGCTGGTTTTCTGTGAGAGCGTGGTCCTTCCCCGGTCGAGCCGACCCATTCGTGCTACAACCATAATATAGCTGCAGTATGGCTCTACCACGTAGAAATCAATGAAGGATAAAAATTAGGGCAAGTGGGGTTTCCTACCCAAAGTAAATTGTACTAGGTATGTAAGGAAGAAGACACTATTTTGTGTAGGTTTATTATTTGTTGTGGTGACAAACTTGGAAAAAATATCATGTTTAACCGGTTCACACGCATGGCGTGCCATCCGCACTGAACTAACTGTATTAAGGCGCAGGTAGAGCAAAATGTCGCGATAGTCGTTATTTGTGCGATTTTTAGGAGCTATCTACTTTTTATTTAAGAGATATATCAACAAATAAAAAACACATTATATTTCTACATAATCTTGATTCCATAAAAGCTATATCCAATTTTTTTTTAAAGGAATAAATATTAATATAATCTCCTTACAACGAAACCACATAAATGTGAAATTATTATTGATAACATGCATCTCCTCGTAAAGTAAGTATTATTTTATTTTGCGATTTACACCAATGGATAGGCAATTTATTAATGAACATTTCTATAGTAAATTTTTTTTCAAAAGACCAAAATTTGATTTTATTAAGAAATTATTTTAAAATCTGGGCGTATTCACTGCTCACGGGCTTGCTGAAGTCAGTGAGCCCTGAGCTCTTCGACGTGGAACCCGTGTTGTTAGAGCGTCTGCCAGCGCCATGTGCCCTCACGTCATCTTATCGGTCGATAATATTATAATATTATTACTTATTAGGTCATTTATAGGTAGTATTATTTGTTTATTTTGGGTATAATTTTTCGTATTAGTTATACATATATTTGTTGTGTTTTTTACTGCGCGATGAAGCTTTTTGCGTGTATTTTCTTTGAAGTAAATGCAAATAAAAAAATGAAGCACCATTAGCATGTAAGGTTCGAATCCATAATTAAAATTTCGACAAATATTATAATTTACATTATAAAAGGCTAATTCAATATTATCACCCAACCACAATATCTTATTAAGTTTAGTACTGACTCGTTGGTCTAGTGGTTGTAGTAGTGCTACTACAGATCATGAGGTCCCGGGTTCGAATCCTGGGTCGGGCCAAAAAGTCAGTTATGAGTTTTTCATTTACGTACTAAGTTATAATTAGTATTACTAAGTTATAGTTTTTTGCTAAAATATAGTATATTATTTATTACTTGTTTTTTCTTCTTTTTCAAAAAATAATTGAGTAAATAAGGTGTTCTATACTTATAATTCGGTAAAAAGTATCTAAGTAGGTACTAATATACCTACTTTTAACTATTAACTAAAATTTTTTAAAACTAAATTTAACTAAAAAGACTAAACTGACCATTTATTTTTTAACTCAAAACAGGACAGTATGGGTTTATTTATACTAATACAATAACTATAATACTATAACTTTAAAAACTATAACTTTATACAATTAGTGTTCACTGTTAAATTATATTCGGTATAGACGGTAATTATTAAATGCAACATATTTTTTTAAATTATTAATTACATTTGTCAGTGGATTAAATTTGCTTTAATAAAGTTGGTGATGATTTTAAATAAAAATAAGATTCTGCTCAAGTTTTTTTATTGTTATCTTTGTTAACAACATTGCCTTTAGAACTCTGGAACCGTAAGTGTTTCTTTCAGACGTCCACAATTTATTCAAAATAAAAAAAAATACTCTTTCTAGCGGAGCATTCGTACCAGGTAGACATAAAATATATTCGATTAAAAAAAATTATGTTGAAGATTGTTGACTTTGAATACTTCCATCCAACGAGTTACGGGACAATTTTGTGTCCCGGAGCTTTGTTTGGGGACAATGGGACAGGTGACCGAGAAAAGGGACAGTCCCGTTCAAAACGGGACGTATGGTCACTTTAGCTATAACCCGGTGACGGCTCCGTGACGTAGTGGCTTAGCAATCAGTTGTTGCGCTGGGGGCCGCGGGTTCGAATCTCGCACGGAACAAATATTTGTATGGCCTACAAATAATTGTTCCGGGTCTGGATGTTTGTCCTTGTGCAATTTATGTTTGTAAACTGCCTCCACGACACAGGAGAAAATCCTAGTGTGGGGGTAACGTTTTTTTACAATTGAAATTGAAAGATTGAACCCTTATACTTCTTGTTGATTTTTGTATTAGTAGGTAGGTATATTACTTTTCAATACGTGACACGTAAAAATTAACAATAATCAAAAACACATCTACGAAACATCCTATTTATTTATTTATTCTTTATTGCACCAAATATTTGTACAAAAGGCGAGCTATCTATTTATTTACCTATAGTGAATAGGTATCTTTTAAACTCACAATTTTCAATGCTTCATTTTTAATATATAATTAATTATAAAATTTCATAATTAGATAATATATGAAAATACATAATTCTAATATAATGCAACTAATATACCGAATAAAAAAATTAAAATACATTTATCGTTGTACGCTGTGCGTATTTCCATAAATTAGTTCATTGATGTTGAAAAAATAATACTACTTTCGTACCTACAATAGGTGGTGGCGTCGTACATATTTCAAATAAAACGCTTATTACATTACACGATTTCTCGGGCCCTGCCCGCAGGGACAGGGTAGTGTAATAAGAAACAGGGAGTCAGGGTCCCTAAACAGGGCGACCGAGTGGTTCCGACCGCCCTGCTTCCCTGCCGCGCTGTGGATCGTGTAGTGTAATAAGAGACAGGGAGGCAGGGAGCTCAGTTGCGTGGCCGCATGCGCAGAGTCTACACGTTTGTTTATTTAAAGTTCTACTATGTCGATCTACTCTCTAAATCATTACTCGTATTTATGTCATGCGCTAAAGAAAAAGATCCTTCTCAATGTCATCGACATCTACAAAGATATGCCTTATCAAATCTTGATAGGGAGTTTCCAGTGGCCAAAATCGTAAAGTGACAACCAATCTCTCTTAAAAAAGTATTCTTTTGAATAAAACTTCTTTTACGGATTCTATCGCGATTAATTTTTTTTTTATTAATTCCCGACGTTTCGGGTGCTTTACCACCCATGGTCACCAGGGGCGGATCTACTTAAAGGCTTTTTGGGCTGCAGCCCAGGGCCCCGTGAATACAGAGGGGCCCCAACCGAACTGAAACCAATAGACGATATTGTCAATAATAAAAATTATCTAGAATTTAAAAAAATCCGATCATAAGGTTGGCAACACTACGATCAATCAACCCGTGTGCGCATCTATCAAACGGAACGGGGAATTCCCTGTCGCTTGTTTTCGATCGCTGTATTCCGTGTATTGTCTATTACTGGGGTCTTCCCTCCGCTTATCGCCCGACGCAATTTTGTTATTTTTCCGCACTTCTGCTATCGTCGACTAAGTATATTAACGAATTGACTTTGTTATTGTTAGAAGTGTGTTTACTGTTTAGTGCGTGTGTTTAGTTTACTAAGTGATAGATAACTTAAAAGTTATAAGGACCGGACTTTTCTTTTAATTTACTAAAATTGAAAGTGTTCAGCATAACTAGACTTCCTGCTTTTAATAGGCAGTAGGTAAGTAAAAAGAATTATAAAACATGACTTTTTTATTTTTATTTCAGTTTCAAAACTAAATGAATCGAACTCGTTCGATATTACGAACGAACGAACGGTTTCGTGGCAGTTTTAGATACATGGCCACTAAATGTTGGAACAATATACCACCACCTATACGGGAAACTAAATCTGTAAACGGTTTTAAAGCTAAATTAAAAATACACCTTTTAGCATCTCAAAAGTCATTATTTCACGTGTAGTGGCAGGTTATTTCATAGATACATAGATACATCATATATATGGATATATGTGTATGTTTAATTTTAATATAATTTACAATACTTTTATGTATATACTTGGAAATATTTACTTTCAGTGAATGGTAAATTCATTATTTTTCGTTTATGTTGTTACCGATATAGTCACGGGCGCAATACGGAATCAATATTTATCAGGGCTCCGCTGAAAATCAGCGCTGCTGCAGTATCTGTGGTAGCATATGCTGAGACGGAATCCTTTTGGCATCACATCACTCACTCTTGTTGCGATTTATTTTATTTTTATTTATGTTTTTCAACTACTTTGTATGTTTTTATGTCTCATTATTTCTAAATGTATATTTTGTGTGTGTATTGATGCTAATAAACATATGTCTATGTCTATGTCTATGTCTATATTTAATGATAATTTGGGAATTGCTACACTCATTACAAAGTAGGTATTAAAATTAAAAGTTCTATCCAGTTCTTTGTTTATTTTCAGAAAAATATCTTATTTTACAGTATGTCTGCTAGAAAATATAAAAGTGGAGCTGAAAAAAGAAAATTACAGTTTTGTCGAGAAAAAGAAATAAATAAATACGCAAAACTTGAAACTTTTTTTAAATCAGAAGATATAAACGCGAATGAAATAGCTATAAATCCATTAAAAAACGTAAAGGAAGGTATTTTATGCGAAGAG